TGAAAATGTAGCACTGTTGGAAAATGTAGTACTGCACAGTATAATATGTATGGGCTTTCCTGTTAACCACAAGCTTTGATAGAGGCAAACCACAGCCACAGCTACATACATTATACATGTAATAATAATAGTGATAAATGAGATCTGATTGCCTTGTGCCTGGCCACCTTCATGACTTTTGAAATGAAATTTGATCCGCCCATGCACCACTACAAACCAATCAAAGCACTGTTGATTTGTAGATTACGGGAATTATTGTACTCGGGATAGTCTCGATGAAAATTTAGCACTTGGCTTTGCCTCGTGCTACATTTTCCTCTTGACCACCCCTCGTACAATAATTCTCTACAGTCTACATATACGTACCGGTATACATGTACATGTACTTGTACGTATATGTATAGTTTTACCTATATTTATTTTTCTTTTTGTTAAGTTTATTTCATTGTTGTTTTTTTAGTTTTGAAGTTAATGATAATTTTGAAAGTACCTCTGACCTCTGATGATATGTTAGTATCTATTGAGCCAAAACAAGCCAATCCTTCATCTCAGTATTATATTGATGGACTTGATCCTGATCAACAAGTAATAATTTAATTATTTTAATTTATTTGTACTACCAAACTCTTGGTACTACATGTACCTCTTTATCCTTTCCTCTCTCTCTCTCTCTCTCCTTTTATACTCTTTATATACATTGTAATTATGGTATATTCTCTATCTTTTCTTTGTTTTATCACACATGTCATTGTACATGCACAGCCATACATTCCAATAGAAGGAAATCAAGAATCATATGAAGTATACATGCAATACAAATCAGTAAGCAATCTCTATTATACAGTGCTAGCTCATTTATTGCTATCATCATTTGTAGTATGTAGAACAAAGGTTTAAGATACTGTATGAGATGGGGCAGTTAGAACAAAAGAGGTAACTATTGTATTGAATATTGTAATATCAATGAACTGCATGTGGTTCAATCTTGACCTAATTCCAGTACTATAATCAAGTTACAATACTAATGGTTCATGTAACATGTACATGGATGTACACATAGTTTACAATCAGTGTCAACTAGAACATTTAAGCAGCTTATTGACATTACATTTATCATTCTGTTAACTATACTATTAGGATTGAGTTAGAGAGTGAGCTTCATGGTGAAGAATTAAAAAGTACAAAATCAACAACATCTTTTCATCGCTATAATTCAATACTACAAAAAATGTAAGTTAATGCAAACTAGAGTATAGCTGATCTGCTGTGTTATTCTGTTTATAGCGTGAACTAGAGAAGGAGCTTAAGAAGCTCAGATCATTATGATAGTAACTGATTCTTAATTATTTGTATGTAATGTTTTGTTCTGTCTCAAAATTTTTTACATAAATTAAAGAATCAATTAAGATAATTTATATGCTATGCAATCCCATATTGCTGTATATTGTGATTGCCTGTTATCACTGAAAGGCCACCCAACGCATTGCATGTTATATTCATACTATTGTGTATTGATTGTTATTCATGAATAATACTATCAATCATGAATTAATTTTAACTTTCCAATAGCATTTATTCATTGTTGTTATGGCATAAACATGTTTGTAACCCATAAGAATGAGTCACATATTAGCTCATTTGTTGTGTAGTATAGTATGAATTGTAGTTCCAGTCTTTTGTAGAGTAGATCTAAGTAGTTTCAATTTTATTACATGGGTAGTGGGTACATGTATTTCATTTTTAAAAATAATGAGCACTTATTTTAGCGGAATTTTTATTGTATAGCCTATTGTGTAACTTCTTATCCATTAAATTATTAGCAATACTCTAGTGTTTCTACATTTTACCATGTGTTTTTGTGCTCTCACGGCCAGCCATGACAAATTTGAGCTTCTGATTTTCCCAGGAGGTCTATAATTATTATTTCTTGATTAGAAACTTCTTAAACTAGCCATGCATGCATGGCAGAATGTCATTTTATATTTGTACTGTACATGCATACTTTCCAATCCATGTATAACAAGCGTAACAGGGTAAAAAATATTCCTATAATTGATTTCACCACCTTGCAAGTACAACTTGGTCACTATTAAGAGTTATAGAGGTTCTCTCTACCTTATAATGCTTCTAAAGAAGTCTTTAGACAGTATCTCTATGCTCTCTTGCTGTTAGAAAGCTCTTAACTTTGTCCCATGTGTAAGCCGCCATTTTGTTTGCCGTGACCACACCCACTCACCGGACTCACGTAAAGGAGGGTGGGCGGGTGGTTGCTAAGGCTTGTTATTTCTCCAATACAACATGTATAGAAGAAATGTAAGGGACATACAAATATATAAACATCGCACGTGGGTGAATTCAATTATAGGAACGACCTGGGGGCTACGCCCCCAGGTCGTTAAAAAGGTGAATTTTTAAAAATTTATTTTTAAAAAGCCATGTATATTGTTGTGCTATCTGGTGAATTCATTACTTTGTATATTTAGTGTATTTAATAACGGACCACCTAGTAACTCTCATTGTCAATTTGTCATAGAAGCTGCTGTGATTTAATATGGATCCTACTGGTATTCAAAGTGAACTTGTAGTAGGTTTAGGTATGGATGAGTTGCCAAATAAATCTAATAATACATCTGTAAATGAAAGTGCTGAACATTGTCAACTTTCAAGTAAGATTTAATTGCAGTATAATATAGCCATTTAATTCCTTGATATAGACCAGTGATTAACTGTACATGTTTTTGTATCTAGATAGGTCTTATGACCTAAAAGAACTCCTAAGTCTCATTAAAGAATCAACTAGCACTGTAAAAGTCAACCCGATTTTGCTTTCCTGCAGTGGTCTATCAAAAGGGAGAGCAATTGCTGCTGAACATCTTGCTATTAGAGGTGATTCAAAAGCTGAAGGTGCAACAGATCAATTTCTAGCAGAATCAAATTTTGAGCCAGTGTTATTTTCTGCCTTTAAAGAACTTTTCACATCACAAAGAGTAATACCTGATTTTAATAATGCAACACTTAGTACTGCAACTTGCATTTTTGATTCACCAGATCTAAATGAGCACCTTCATTTCATTTATAAACTCCTGTCTAACAAAGGCTTAACTGGCAGGAGCTCAATTAATATTATTAATATCTGGAGTTTTGCTATTAATAGAATCATACGTCACTTCTTAGCATCAATGCAAGGTCACCTCTACAATCATTACATGTGGCTCTTTCTTGACCTTGAAGATGATATTGACAACCTTGACAAGCCTCCAGAATTTGCTGAACTCATGAGCTGGAGGCCTCGTCTTCATTATTTGCTTCGTTCTTGTAAGATTAGTGAGGATAAAGAGAAGGAGAGAAGGAGAGTTTGTACCATCTATGCTAAACACAGTGGCACAATCGCCAATGAAAAATTGCAAGAGAAAGTTCAAATTTTGGAAGATAGAATACAACCAGTTGCAAAGCGCATTGGAGTATCTGGACTTCTTCAAGAAAAGATCGAAAAGATCCACTCTGAAGACTCCAATGACAACTCTCTCTCTCAATACTTTCACCAGAGGTTTCAACTTATTGTCAATGAAAAAAAGTATGACGAAATTCCAATTTCATGGGTTTTCCTTCGCAGTCTATTTCATCGCTATGAGCGGAAAATCACTATACCCCGAGAGGAACTCCAGATAATGGCAAAGGAGTGTGGTATGGATGACAAGTCCTTAAAGGGGTTTTGCAAGTTCTACACTTCCTTTGGTAGCATATTTGACCTGAGTCTTATTGATCCTAATTATCAGCATGTCATTTTAAAACCGGTTAGTTTCCTTAAAGCTCTTGATTGCCTTTTTGATCCAAGTAGTGAAAATCTTGAAAAGTATCCTATCATGAGATTTGGTGTTATTCCTGAGGTTGTGTGCACGAAGCAATTTGATGGGCATATGGATTCTTTCATGTCGGCACTTGTTGCCCTGAATTTAGCAGTACGAGTCCATAAAATTCAACTGGAGCTGCAATCTCATGCTACAAATAAACATTTCTATTATATTCCCCTAAGTCGTGAGAATAATGCTACAGAAGTCGATCAAAAGTCAATACATGTCCTCACGAGCATTGACACTCCTCATATCTTTAAGCAAGCGACATTTACAAAATATTTCTTAGACCGACGTCCACAAGCAAAACTAGTTCCAACTGAGTATCGCAACCAAACCATCATCAAAGATACTACTACTGGTACAACTGTCACCTTAACATCACACAGTCCAGCTACCAAACTGCACTTGGACAAACCAAATCACGAAGTATGTTCCTGTATTGTTCAAGTTTATAACGACATCGCAAAAGAAGCTATAAAGAATAATGCTAAAATAGTTGTCAATTACAAATTCATCAAAATTTGTGCCAGGACGAACCTTCCAAGTGTCCAATTAATTCCGTCATCTGATTATCATATATTACCGAATGATAACCCAGATGATAGGCTCTGTTCTGATTGTAATGATGCTAATACTGAAGCTGATGTTAAGTTATTACAAGCCTGGAATAAAGCATTGCAAGAAGTAAGTGGCTATGACTTCCTAATAAAAATTATGATTTTTCTATAGTATCCTATTGAACGATTGTGCTGGTCAAGTGGAGGTAAAGTTAATTTGAATTTTTTGGCTACTAGTCTATAAACGTAAAATTTACTTTTATTGCAGATTTGAAACCATCAGATATAGCTGAAGTAGCAGAAAGGCTTGCCTTAGTTTCCTCTGTCAGCACAGATGACATCGCAATAGCTTTTGAAATCGAAATCAATGGACCAGTTGGTGAGGATCAAAGGGCTACTATGATAGCTTATATTCTGTTTTCATGGCACATGAGCAATCGAGATATTCAAGAGCCAAGACGGAATCTGGCCAGAAAGATATTTGCATTAGAAAGTTGTTGTGAAGCTGAGGAAGGGAGGATTGATCTCAAGAGAATAGCCAAGGATCTGGATGTAGAGTTACACGAGCTACTTTAAATCAATGGTTCCTTTAGAACTCAAGTGCCAATTTTTGCTGTTTTTACTTGCTGCCAATAAAACTGTTAACAACCCATGCTGACATGTACTATTGATTATCGTTATCTTGTTAATATTGCTACTCTTTCTTACTATAAGTAGACCCTTGTATTTCTTTAACTGCTGTTTAATGTTTTTAATGCTTTTGTCAATGCTAAAACCTATCAAATTTTGCAACTTTATTTTTTTTAACTTTTAAAAATTAGAATCTATAGATCTAGATCTAATTCAGTACCAACATTACAAGAGTAGCTAATCCATTATGGCAAACCGACATATATTTATATTTGACATATATTTGAAAAGTATGATATGTAAAGGTACCGTAAATCCTTAAATAGAAGCCGCATTCGAATAAACGCCGGGTAACAATAAAATTAAACTATAAATACGCAACACTAGCCTAGGAGTGACTCAGTAGTCTAGTGGATATTGGATAATGCCTGCAGTTCCAGAAGTCAAAAGCATGAGGTTACGGGTTCGAATCCCGCTGTGGGCTAAAGTTATATATATATATATATATTTTTCGAGATCCAAATCAGAGGA